GGCTGCGGAGCGAGGGCGCAGGGGCGGCGCTCGGAGGTGGACTGTGAAATGGTCCTTCCCTGTCCCAAAAATGGAAGCAGCCGGGGAAATGTTTTGCAGCCAAATTGTTTGGAGAAATGCTGGGAATTATAGTTCTTTGTTTGCTTTTCTTTTTTTTCTTTTAAAACCATTACAAAACGTAAAGCGCCCCAACGGCGCCCGCTAAGACTGACAGAGCAGCGGCAGCAGTTAGGCTAGCGTTTTGAGTTGGCGCGGTCGTACGAGCCTTGCTGTCGGTTGTGCTCGATGAACGCCTTGCGTCGCCTTCGCGTTGGCGCCCGCATCTTGCTTCTCGTTGTTTTAAACCTCTGTCAGCGTCAGAGTTGTTCCGAGGGGCTTGATATCAGTTCAGCCTTTATCTCATTTAGATTCCTGAAGAAATATTCTTTCAAGAAGAATAGTATTAGGGGGGAAGAGAGAACTTCTGAGAGAGTCATTTGTAATGTTGGTGGCCAGGCAAAGCTTGCAGGGTGTACCAACGTGTGTCCAGCCGCTTCTGTGTTTTAGTCCTGTGCGTGTGGAGGAATCTTTAAGAAAAGGGTCAGTGTGTTTATCTCAAAAATACTGTGCAGATTTACCTTTTCAGGTCTTGGAGCTGCTAACAATTCAGAGAGACAGTTATATATTGTTAATATCTGGAGAGGCTTCAAAGCAGATTTAAGTGGGAGTATGTTTAATCAACTAATTTTTGACTAACTTTAAGTATTCATCAGCAATCGTTGTTCTTGTAGGTTTTCAGGACTAATTGTCTTTCTCATCGTCTTTCTCACTGGACTGAAGAATTAGGAATTTTCTTAGGAAAATAAATTCCCCGTGTCTCTTTTGAATGGGTAGCAGGGGGTAGCAAGCGTCCCCTGCTTCGTTACGAGGGAACCTCGTTGTTAAGGTCTCTGTAGTGGCACACGTGTGCCTGGAGCTGGGGCCGGCGGGACCGGAGGGCTCCAGGGCCAGCAGGACGTCGGTCCCGGGCAGGAGGCGAGGGCTTTTGAGGTCAGCGTCCCGTTTCTCGTGTAGCCGTAGTGGGAGCGACCTGGAGTTATTAACAGATCTGGCTGGAAAACGAACATTTGGTGGTAGCAGGCTGGAAAAAGCGATTAAGAGAAAAATCTCTAGTGCAAAAGTTAGCCTTTTTATTGATTAAACCAAAGACTGGAAAATGAAAAATCGTCAGCACTTTTGGTTTTCTTCCACAAAAATACAGCTGTCTCTTTTGCAAGGTAGAGTGATTCGTTGAGGAAACTGGATATTCAGTGATAAAATTTTCTATTTAAAAAAAAGTTTGGAAATATTTTGACCCTCCCAAATCATGAGAGTGATGGAGATGATCGTATTATTCAGTTTAGCTGTCTGGTAGGTAAAAGAGGTTAGAAGGGTGCTCTGGCCGCAGGAGCGGGTTTAGAAAGGAAGCATAGTCTTGATTTCCCACAGAGGTATAACGTGACATAGAGATGAAATGATCTGACAAAGCTAGTTGTTGTAGTGCTGTTTTGAAGCAAGAATGTCATTAAAATGGGTCCTAGAGCTGACTGAAAGATATAAGAAAGTGTTCAAATATTGTCAAGATTTTTTTATCTTAATGATACAATTTCATTTTTTTCTTCCAAAAAAGCTTTGGCCGTGCTACAAGCTGGTCAAAAGCCAGTGAAGTAATGCAGAACTATTTTTGAAGATTCTTGTAAGCTTTTCCCGTCTTAAAATGTCCAGTAAGTTTGATCAGCTTGTATAACTTTAGGGGGGGTTCTTTTGTATAGTGTTTTTGCAAATGATTGAACCAAATATAACTTATAGATTTTTTTTTTTCTTCTGAAGACTCTACACTGCCTATTCAGTGTGAGATTGCTCTGACAGCTCAATTATTTGCAATGCTTTAACCTACTAGTACAGTCTCGTTACTTATCCGGAGACTCCTTCATTTTGCTTTATTTCGTTTCTCAAGTGACAAAATTCCATCTCCCAGGATACGCAATGTTTTCAGTCTTAATTTGTTACCAATCAGCTTCTTCATCAGCTGATACTGCCTTAAAGACATGATGCCAATTCTTTCTTAGTATGTTCTAGGCATTGTACCGGAGAGGTTTAGTTTTACTCTTTAAGTCTGTGCTTCGTATCAAAGTATTGCCTAAAATATCAATTCTCAAAGGTGGTTGTGAGCAAACCTCATCTGGATCTGAGCATTTAATCTCCTTCACCTTTTTCTAAATACAGGAGGCAAAACTGATCTTTTTTGTTGAGTCTGGAAACTTTTTCTTAATCTCCTACTTTTTTTTTTTTTTTTTTTAAGTGAGAAGACAAGATGTTGCAATGGTTAAATACCAAGGCTCATGTTACCGGTGTTACCATGGCTGCTCTGTGTGGGAAGATTTGGGAAAGCCTCGGCATACGGGCGCTCGTGAGCGCCCAGTGAAAGGCAGCCGGACTCTTGTCCAGCACCTCCTCTGCGGTCCGTAGAGGCGGCACTTGGAGATCGGGGCTCGAACGGCTCCGAGTGCAATGACGGGGTGAACGTGAGGGTTGGACCCGAGTGCTTTATCGTACCCAGGGGTTATCGTGATACCTGCTCTTTCACGTGAACTTCTGCTCTCTCCGCTAAGCATGATGCGAGATGTTGGGCGAGGGCCAAATCCTGCTCGGATCTGACCCTGCCCTTACGCCGGTGCAAACGGTGTAGTAGTCTGTTGTGGCCGCTGAGGCGAAACAGTGTTCGGTCAGCAGCCCCGTCTTGAATCTAGGGCAAGAGCTGCAGCCCAGCCGTTTAACGTTTACTTGGTTATTACCCTTACGTGGGCACCAACCCCCGGCAGCCTTTAAAAGCACAGGGCTGCCCTCGTTTGATCAAATCGCGCTGTTTTTCGTTTCAGGTAGTGGAGCTGCTCACGTAAATCCGGCTCAGGACCTGGCTTGCTCTGGTCTATCGGACTGAGTCCGGAGGAGAGGGACCCGTTTTTCTGTCCTCCCTTAAGCAGGTTTCCTGGGTGGTGAGCGAGCGTGTGTGTGTGCACACCCTGCCGGTACGCTGCACTCGAAATCCTCGCTGTTGTTGCTTTTTGAGTTTACACTCTAAAGTAGTAGTAACTCCCTGCGCGAGCTTACAGCAGCGAAATGTGAGCGCAGGATGAGGCCCAAGCGCAAAGCTGTCAAGTAGTTGAATGTTACTTGTAGCAAACAAAACAAATCTCTCTTTGGAAGAGAAGGTGGTGGAATAAGAAGAGATTTTTGTAGTTGTTGCATTTGCCGTTTCCTCTTCCCTCCCTTTCACTCTGGAAATTCTTCGTCCTTTCATGCTCAGCTGAGAATTAGCCATTTATTCTTAGGCTGGCGACGCAGTCTTTGATATTTAAACTGGAATGTGTCCCTTTTTGATGCTCTGTGGTTTTGAATGAAGTACATGCTAGCAGATTAATGGCGCAGAGCAGTTAGACACTGCCATTTTTTTCCTTTCTGTATTATTTCATCATTCCGGAAAAAAATTAAATAAAATTTTAAGAGAGACTATGAATTGTCTATTGTTTGTGCAGTGAAATTGTTTTCACAGTGTTGTCATTCTCTTCTGAGCTGAAATCGTTGAATAGCTATGAGCTGTCACATTTTTGTAAGTTATAACTGCATCAAGCTGTGCTGACAAAATGTCCCTGCACAACTGTTAATATGCATTGTCATTTTAAGCATGACACAGTTTAGCTAATGATTTATCTCTTATAATGCAGCACTTGGGGCAGCTGTATGATTTGTCTCTTTAGCAAGTCAAGTAATTTCTTTAACAAAATGTTAAGCACAGATGGGCCATAGGCTGTCAGTTAACCATTATTGTGCATGCATCTGCTTGCCTTCAATGCACTGTTTTATGTATTCAACCACTTACTTAGGCAGAGCTCTCTGAAAAGCGGAACCTACTCTGATTGGCAAATAAAATGTTCATTTGTCTCTTCTTCCTATTGTTTTGTTTTGGTAACACATGTCAGCAGCTCAATTACCCAGTTCATTAACAGCTCCCAATGGACACGATGGCCAACCCATGATAAGGAGGGCGATTGTGGCACATATGGTCAATAATAGCCTGTCTCTTGGTAATTGTAAATAAAAGTCACTGTTGGCCGTTTCCTTTTACTGCCGCTACCGTTTTCCTTTTCGCTTTGCTGTACAAAGCACATTTCTCGATGTGAAGAAGTCCAAGTAAAATGAAAATACCACGCGCTCCTCTCAAGAATATCACTTTTAGCGCTCTTCTGGCTGTTTTTTCCCCTTCTGTGCTGACTTTTCAGCTTGGAGCTCACGGGAGACGGGGTCACTCTTTTTGCAGTCAGTTAACCGAATAATAACTTTTATTAATCAGTTTACTTAAACAGCAACATATTTTCTTCCTGTTTCTCTCATTCTCTTACTGACTACTTTTGTGAAGCGCCTGCGGAGTTTAAAAAAGCCATTTACAATGTTTTTGTAAGTATGCCCTTTGCAAATAGCAGCCGTTTTCAAAGGGGTAATTGAAGTGTGACTTAATCCTTGTTAGATGAGTGATATTCATGTCTGGAACAGAGGGTTGCTTTTTTGGTTTTGTTTCTTTTTTTTTTTAATATATCATAGTGAAAATGCTCGTAAAAAGGGTTAAAAGCAACTGTGCTAGTTACTAGTGTTTCACACTGCGCTGGGTGTTCCGTTGCTTTCTAGCACGATGGAGCATCCTTTGTCGTATACTTTCTGATCCTAAACGTTTGCGCTTTTTTTTTTTTTTTTAAGCGGGGAAATAGGAACTTCCATTAGCACCTTTAATTTTACGCCACAGATAAATGTTTTGGGCCTTTATGTTTGTCTCTTTACATTTTTGAAAATCTCTTTTCTTTGCAGTCGAAGTAGAGGAGCCAGATTGCTGGTGATTTCTGGGGATGCAGTTTTTGGGCTGTGAGCCGGTGGGTGACGTTTGGGGTACCCCCATCTCCCCCCATCCTCTTGCCCTGTTAAAAATCACGATGAAGCACAGAAAGCAAACAGTGAATCGGATGAAATGGCAGCTCGGAGACCTGGTAAACTTGCCAAAAGTGCTATGGTCAGAGACCTGAAACCCTAAAATTCGGGGTGCTTTTCTAAGCTTTGGAACATGCCTTATCTTAAATAAACAGAGCTCAACTGAGAGTCTTAAACGACTCACAGGTGGCGGCATCGTGACTTTAGACCCTGTGAACTGGTCCCCCGCTGCCTGCCATATTCATAACTAATCTGTAGTCTCCACCCCGGGTTGCAGGCACTCGGGGAGTTGTTGAGTGTCAGAGTTTATTTGCGCTATTTTGATTAGCCCCGACCTGGCAGGGCGTATTTTCTTTCTAATGGCCCCTCGCTGTGAGCCGGCCGTTTCGGAGGAGGAGCGGGCAGCCGC